GTTGCCCCCCCCCCCCCCATTGCTTTTGGACCTCTATAGAAAGGAACTACATAATGGTGGCCACATACACACAAGAGAAAATTCAGCCCATAGCACTCTGAAAGCAAAGAAAACAGGAGAGGCCAGGGTCCGAATGTCTGCTTCAGGAGCACACACTTCATGCGACTGCAAGACTTTCAAATGGGCCCCACCTCCTGGAGGGTAGGAACCAAGTCTTTCATGCGTGGGCTTTGGGTGAACACTTACCCAAACTGTAAAAGACATTAAAGGGATAATATACATGGGAGACTCTATAAAGGTTGAGTAGTAGTGTACACAACCAAACACATAGGAGCCGTTCTGAGCTTAAGATGGTCGGTGAGTGGGTCTTCTCCATATCCTTACAGAACAGTGAAAACACAAAAAGCTGATTTTTGCAGTCTGTGATATGGGATTCTTTTCTCTGAGTAAATCTTTGAGCATCAGTGAAGGTGTGGATCCCTTTACAGCTTACATCTTTCTTCAGGTATCAGTCTCCCTGAAGGCGTGGATCCCTCTTTTCTGGCTGCTCTACCTGATGATATCCGCCGGGAAGTCCTACAGAACCAGCTGGGCATCCGTCCACCAACTCGAAATGCTCCCTCCACAAATAGCTCAGCTCCTGCAGTGGTGGGGAATCCTGGTGTGACTGAAGTGAGCCCTGAGTTCCTGGCTGCCTTGCCTCCAGCCATTCAGGAGGAAGTATGTGAATGGGAAGATGGTGAGGCCAGACTACCTTACGAGCTATGCCCTCATTCATGTGTTTTGTTGCATAGGTGCTAGCACAGCAGCGAGCTGAGCAGCAGCGAAGGGAACTGGCCCAGAATGCCAGCTCAGACACCCCTATGGACCCTGTGACCTTCATCCAGACTCTTCCCTCAGACCTACGCCGTAGTGTCCTAGAAGACATGGAAGACAGTGTGTTAGCTGTGATGCCACCTGACATTGCAGCTGAGGCTCAAGCCCTGAGACGAGAACAAGAAGCCCGGCAGCGACAGATCATGCATGAGCGTCTTTTTGGGCACAGCAGCACCTCGGCACTCTCTGCCATTCTCCGAAGCCCGGGTACAGAGGGAGGCAAGTGGGAGGGCTCTGGAATATCTAAGCCTTGGCCTAATGAGGCTCTTTTTTGCTACTTGTTGTATTTTCTGAACCCAGCTTCTCCTCACTTCCCCAACTTCAGTTTCTTTTTTCTTTCCTTCTAGCTTTCACCAGTCGTCTGAGTGGCAATCGTGGGGTCCAGTATACACGCCTTGCCGTGCAGAGGGGTGGCACCTTCCAGATGGGGGGTAGCAGCAGTCACAATAGGTACCTTTGTCTGTCCTTTTTTTACCTTACCATACCACTTTTTGAGTCCCTTTTATAGATGAAGAAGCTAAAGGCCTGAGAGGCAGGCTAGGTGACCATTCTATGCTGAATTATTTATTAACTAAGCTGAAGTATAGTAGGTTTAGCTTGCCAAAATAATAAGGGGAAAGGATAGCAGCCCCTTGATAAAGTAGAGAAGGCAAAAACAAGCATTGGCTCATAGACTTAGGTACAGTCAGATTTTCATCAACCAATAAAGATGTGAATCTCTGCTCCATTCTCAGAGGTCATGAGATAGGGAGCAAATTGGCGGGGGGGGGTGTTGGTTGTGATTTTGGTTTTGTTGACACTCTTTTTCATCTAAAAAATTGGTAATTCTCTGTAATGCACATCAGTCCTATGGGAAAGTTAATGACATTGTATAGTGCCTAGATGTACAAGAGGGCTGTTGTGGACATCATCCTTCCTTTTGGCGTTTCCTTGGGGGAAATTCATTCCTCTCATGTGCTGGTGCCTCATCCTAGAGCTCTACCTCTTGTTACCCAGAGAAAACCACCCTCTGTTCCTAGGCCTTCTGGCAGTAATGTGGACACTCTCCTCCGCCTCCGAGGACGACTCCTTCTGGACCATGAAGCCCTGTCTTGTCTTTTGGTCCTCCTTTTCGTGGATGAACCAAAGCTCAATACTAGCCGTCTGCACCGAGTACTGAGAAATCTCTGTTATCACGCCCAAACCCGCCACTGGGTCATTCGTAGCCTCCTGTCCATCTTGCAACGCAGCAGTGAGAGTGAGTTATGCATTGAGACACCTAAGCTCTCTACAAGTGAGGAAAAGGGCAAGAAGTCAAGCAAGAGCTGTGGGTTAAGCAGCCATGAGAACCGTCCCCTGGATCTGCTCCACAAAATGGAGTCTAAAAGTTCCAACCAGCTTTCCTGGCTCTCAGTATCCATGGATGCTGCTTTAGGCTGTAGGACTAACATATTCCAAATCCAACGTTCTGGAGGGCGCAAACATACAGAGAAGCATGCAAGCAGTGGCTCTACAGTCCACATCCACCCACAGGCTGCTCCTGTTGTCTGCAGACATGTTCTGGATACACTCATTCAGTTGGCCAAGGTGAGGATCTTTTGAAGGAACCTGTGACTCTCTGGGATGGAAGAGGGGTAGCGGTAATAGCCTGAGTGATTCTGATCATTAAAGGAGCTTACAAATCTCTCCCTTTGCTTTTATTTTGTATTTTGCACTGTGCTATTTCTTGGGAATTGTCCAATAAATAAGTGTGAAGTTTATAGCTTCTTTCTTTGCAGTTTTAATGAACTGTCTCAGTCATCAAAACAACCATCTGCACTCTGATTCTCCTTTTACAGATGACACTGGGATTTAGAACATTTTAGTGACTTTATCATGTGACTAGAAAGTGACTGAGCTCATTATTGTTTCAATAATAGGCATTGCTACTATGTACTTAGGACCCACCTTGTGCTAGGCACTGTGCAAAATGCATTGCCTCACTTAGTCACATAAACTTTGCAAGTCAGTGTTGTCCTCCCTGTTTCCTACGTAGAGGCTGAGACTTAGAAAGATTGCTAATCATTGCCTTGCTTCAAAGCACTTACTCATTTCTCCTAGACTGCTTTACCATCAACTGATAAAAAGCTTAAAATCCATCTATTCTATGTTATCGGAGCTTTCCAAAAAGGAGGAGAGTCTTGAGAACCAATTGTCTTTCCTGTCAGGAGGACTTATCCTCTGTGGAGACCACTTAGATCAAGCTTATCTTTCTCTTCCCGGCAGGTGTTTCCCAGCCACTTCACACAGCAGCGGACCAAAGAAACAAACTGTGAGAGTGATCGGGAGAGGGGTAGTAAGCAGGCCTGCAGCCCATGCTCCTCACAATCCAACAGCAGTGGCATTTGCACAGACTTCTGGGACTTACTGGTAAAACTGGACAACATGAATGTTAGCCGGAAAGGCAAGAACTCCGTGAAGTCGGTGCCAGTGAATGCTGGTGGAGAAGGGGAAACTTCCCCACACAGCCTTGAAGCCTCCCCACTGGGGCAGCTCATGAACATGTTGTCACATCCAGTCATCCGCCGAAGTTCTCTCTTAACTGAAAAACTCCTCAGACTCCTCTCTCTCATCTCAATTGCTCTCCCAGAAAACAAAGTATCAGAAGCACAGGCTAACTCTGGCAACAGTGCTTCCTCCACCACTGCTGCCGCCTCAACCACATCTACCACCACTACCACTGCTGCACCCACACCCACACCTACACCCCCTGCTGTAACCACCCCTGTTACTTCTGCTCCAGCTCTGGTTGCTGCTGCAGCTATTTCTACCATTGCTGTAGCTGCTTCTACCACAGTGACTACCCCCACAACTGCCACCACTACTGTTTCAAGTAAGTGTTGTAAACAGCTCAGGATGTGTGCTGTGGCTCAGACGTCATACCCTCTTCCCAAACTAGGTCCTCCTTAAATGATTATTGTGAGAGCAGAATATGTTTATTCTTGCCATTATCTGTTTCCTCTTTTTAAAGAAATTTTATGTGTATGAGTGTTTTGTGCATTTCCCAAGGAAGTTAGAAGAGAATGTCAGATTCCCCTGGCAGTGGAGTTAGACAGTTGTTAGCTGCCATATGGGTGCTGGGAACCAAGCCTGGGTTCTCTGCAAGAGCAACCAGTGCTCTTAACTGCTGAGTCATCTGTCCAACACCTCAGTTTCCTCTTTATCCCGTCCTCTCACCATTTCTTCCTTCCATGTGTTTACACACACACACCACCACCACCACCCCACCCCCGTAAAAAGCAGCAAGCTTTCCTAAATCCTAGGCTAGGCACCAAGGTAGGACAGGTAAGCCCTAATCTTCAAGAACAGGTTGAATGCAGTATGAATTAGACCATTTCAGGAAGTAAAGAGAATAAGCCCTGAAAAAGCCCTGTAGCAAATGACTAAGAATTGCCTCCAAAAGTAGATTATGAAGCATAATGAAGGGGAACAACTGAGAAATACCTGGGGTTCTTTGTCACCAAGAGACAGTTAACATTTAGCTCTGAGATGGGTGCATTGTCATTTTCACTGCTTTGACACTGCAGTAGTTCCTTGGTTCTGCCACTTTGTCTCAAGCTTGAAACAGTCACAGAGCCTTAATGTATTCTGTTTTCCTCAAAGCTTCCAAGAGCAGCAAATCTCCAGCAAAGGTGGGTGAGGGTGGCAGCACCAGTATGGACTTCAAAATGGTATCTTCTGGTCTCACTGAAAACCAACTACAGCTCTCTGTGGAGGTGAGTCCAAGCTCTTCATACCTTCTAAGGATGAGGGGAAAAGAGACATTTTGATTCTCAGGATGGGGCTTATTCTTTACCTTTTCCCTAGGTGTTGACATCCCACTCTTGTTCTGAAGAAGGCCTGGAAGATGCAGCCAATGTATTGCTGCAGCTCTCTCGGGGGGACTCTGGGACCCGGGACACAGTTCTTAAGCTGCTATTGAATGGAGCCCGCCATCTGGGTTATACCCTCTGTAAACAGATAGGTAATAACAGGATTAAAGCATTCTGTTCTATCTTATTGGAAGCATTCTCCAAGCCTTCCCCAAGCCAAACTAGCCTCTACCATGCTCCCAGAACATAGCCCTATTTTCCTCTGCTGGATTGAGAACAAAGTTGAGCTTCTCTGTATCCCTAATGACAGACATACAATTGGTCATCTGTGCTTAGTGAAGGGACAAGAAAATACAGAAGACCAAGACCTCTCTTTTTTCTCCCTAATGAGCACTTGTAAGAACCCTATGATGAAGTTGCAGAATCAGATTTTACCACGAAGATACCTATACTATGTTCAGACTCAGGCATTGTAGTCAGAATAACACCCTCTTTTGTATAATTTGAAGGATGCAAAAATTCCAATGCTTGAAGTTGTCTAGTTGCTTTATCTTCCTGTTTTACCTTGAAGAAAACTAAAGCCTAAGGTAATAAAGTGATTGGACCAAGGAATAGAAGCCCATTTTCTTTCATTGTAGAACATTTCTGTCACCACCAATCCTAATCATAGATCACCCTAGATCTTGACTTGACTCCCTGCTAGATATCATCATCCTACAAACATCACAAAGCTGATATACTAGAGTTGGTTTGCCTGTATCATAGTTGATGCGTGAGAATTACGAAGTTCTTCCTAAAAGAATTTGGCCTCTGGTGTCAAACATTTGTTGACTGCTACCAGTTATTTAGTACCCAAGGGCTGAGCACTGAGTAGTACATAATTATCTCAGTTACCACAACAACCTTTGGTGGTTAGGGAGTATTTTTCTGATTATAAAGATGCATAAGCTGGGAATAGAGCCAAGAAATTTGAGAACACAAAACCAGAGTAAGTATAAGAGATACACAGAACTTCAGTCGTGGCCTGTTTGGCTCAGCTCCACAAGACATGTTTACCTTTTCTTTTCTACACTAAGCTGAATTTTTTGTCAATTCAACAGGCCAGGTATAAATTGGTGGTCACCAAGTCTGTCAGTACACACAAATAAACTAAATAGCAAAATCTCTGTTCACTCTTGAGTTTCTTGCAGGGAAGGTATCCTGTGCAGATTTCCTAGTGAGGTTCAGCTTTTGGCTACTTCGCTAAGAAAATCTCTTGAGCACTTGATGACCCCTGTGCCTACCCAGGTACCCTACTGGCTGAGCTACGGGAATACAATCTGGAGCAGCAGCGGCGAGCCCAATGTGAGACCCTCTCTCCTGATGGCCTACCTGAGGAGCAGCCACAAATCACCAAACTGAAGGGCAAAATGCAGAGCAGGTGGGTGGTAGCTCTCCTTTTGGCTGTGGGCTAGAATCTGGAATATCTGAAAAGTAGCTTTGTCTGGTTTTCCTCTTCTATTTTCTTTCTTGGGTGATTTTTCTATTTGTCCTATTCATACTTGACCTGATGTTTTTCTTACTCTCCCTCCTTATAATATCTTCTGAGATTTTTTTCTTCTAGTAAATGCCAGAAAGCCCTGCTGCTTGCACTGAACATTTCTACTTTGATGTTTTCAATATATGCAAGCCACCTTTACACTATCCAGGTTTGACATGGCTGAGAATGTGGTAATTGTGGCATCTCAGAAGCGACCCTTGGGTGGCCGAGAGCTTCAACTGCCTTCTATGTCCATGTTGACATCCAAGACATCTACCCAGAAGTTCTTCTTGAGGGTACTGCAGGTCATCATCCAGCTGCGGGACGACACACGCCGAGCTAACAAGAAAGCCAAGCAGACAGGCAGGCTAGGTATGGAACTAGACTGTCCAGTTCAGGGGCAGGGTGGTGATGGTGAACCCAGAGTCCCTAGAAGGTCAGGATTGAATGTTCTATTTCATTCTTGTTTAGCCTTTCCAAAAGGAAAGCTGTGATCTTTTGTTAATGGCTACATTGTATATACCATGTTCAAATTGAAGAGATTGAATAGAATAAGTAGGAATTCGGGGGAAATAGAAATCTCACAAGGAAATTGGGAGAAACCAGCTTTTTGCTGAGAAAGACAACTCTGTGTGTGTGCTTTCTGCCTCCTTGAGTACTCCTAATGAAAACACTAGCTATGTTGACTCAAACATTGGCCTCCAAAGCCATTTTCCCTTCCTCTTTCCTCCTGTCCCACAGAACCCTCTCATATGCCACCATCATCTACCTAGCACTGTGCCCTTATCTTAGGATTTGATTAAAAGTACATTAAATCTTGCTGAACTAAAATTCAAATTCAGCAAGATGTCCTGTGGCAGCCCTGGAGAGAGGAGAGATTATTGGACATTTCCTCTTCCTACATTTTATATCGTGCCTTCCTGTTTTTCCCTCTTTCTCCCAGGTTCCTCCGGTTTAGGCTCAGCTAGCAGCATCCAGGCAGCTGTTCGGCAGCTGGAGGCTGAGGCTGATGCCATTATACAAATGGTACGTGAGGGTCAAAGGGCGCGGAGACAGCAACAAGCAGCAACGGTTAGCATGATGCCTGTGGCCCCCTCATTCATTTCTCTACCCTCCTTCCCTCGCCATGTCATCAGTGGGGTTGCATTGCCCATACCTTGTATGCTTTTGCATTAAGTTTGCTAAATGAATGCTTCTGGACAACAGGGCTATGTTCTGTTGGTGTTTTCCTTACTGTTTATTGATTGGTTTACTGGTTTGTATTGAAGTTTGGTTGGATTTAAAGCTTGGCCATCATACCACATTCTTAGCTATCCAGCCAGTAGTGGTGCTTCTGCAAATTGCCTAATGTTCAGTGTCTTGTTGGTTCTGGATGGATGTGGGGTTAAAAAAAAATTCACTGTCATGGAACAATACAAATACATCTCAAGAGTCCTACACTTAAAAGTTGCCCAAACTTGGTACACATCCCATGCAGCCACTTCTGTCTATGACTGCTCCCTTGACCTTGGCCTCTCTGCCTCTTCTCCATAGTCCCTTGACACGTAGATAATCAGGCCATGTAGGAAGTAGCTTACAGATATTTAAGTAGCCACTATAATATTGGGGTCCTGGCATAGAGTGGGTACAATAAAAGCTGTGACACTCTGTTGTCACCTTTTTGTTCTTGCAACATACAAGTCACCTTCCCAAGATCTTAAGAAATAAAGGTATTCTGAGGCTGGGTAATTTATGTAGAATTCCTGTTATACACAGCGTATCATTAGTTGTGTCATACATAGCCTAGAATTTGGGGAAAGTGACTCCAGAGAGACAAAGAGCAAAAATAGCTGTTGCTCTGAGGTAATTTTTTTATCTGCCTGGTCTCTTTCCTGTCCAGTTGGTAAGACAGATAACTTTTTTTTTTCTGTTTTTGGTCTTTTTGAGACAGGGTCTCCCTGTAGCCCCAGC